TGACTGGATTAGATAATGTCTCCGCTGCCTTCCTGATAACCCAAAACGGACTTGCTTAAGGACAACAGTAAAACATTACAGGCAACTAAAAAAAAAAAAAAAAAAAACACCTCTTTTGGGGCGCCTGGATGGCTCAGTTGGTTAAACGACTGACTTCTGCTCAGGTCATGATCTCCCGGTTTATGAGTTCAAGCCCTGCGTCAGGCTCTGTGCTGACAGCTCAGATCCTGGAGCCTGCTTCAGATTCTTTGTTTCCTTCTTTTTCTGCCTATCCCCTGCTCGTGTGCTCTCTCTATCAAAAATAAATAGTAAAATAAAATAAAATAAAATAAACCTTTTTTTTTTTAAAGATAATTTATTTATTTTTAAAAGAAAGCATGGGGGAGGTCAGAGAGAGGGAGAGAGAATCCCAAGCAGGCTCTGCAATGCCAGCACAAAGCCCAATGTGGGGCTTGAACCCACCAACCACGAGATCATGACCTGAGCCGAAATCCTACACTCAACTGATTGAGCCACCCAGACACCCCCCCAAAAAACTTTTTTATTATGAAAAATTTCAAACCAAATTTAATGTCAACACAACTCCCACTTATGCTTTACCTATCATTTACATTCTTTCTTGCTTCTTCTGTACCTCCAGCCCCTCCCACTTGGTTATTTTGTATAGTTGCATGGCTAGTTTGTATAGCTCTTGTTGTGAAATTTACAAACATTGAAACACAGAAATATTTAAAAAAATTAAAAAAAAATTTTTTTTATTTTTGAGAGAGAAAGAGAGACAGGGTGTGAGCGGGGGAGGAGCAGAGACCGAGGGAAACCCAGAACTAGAAGCAGGCTCCAGGCTCCGTGCTGTCAACACAGAGCCTAATGAGGTGCTCAAACCTACGAACTGTGAGATCATGACCTGAGCCTGAAGTTGGACACTTAACTTAGCCACCCCCTCGTTTTGTTTTTGTTTTCTTTTTTTAAAGCTTATTTTTGAGAGAGAGAGAGAAAGAGAGTGCAAGTAGGGGAAGGGCAGAGAGAGAGGAAGAGAGAGAATCCCAACCAGGCTCCACACTATCAGTGCGGAGCCGGATTTGGGGCTCAATCTCACCAATTGTGAGATCATGACCTGAGCTGAAATAAAGAATCAGACGTTTAAACTACTGAGCCCCAAACGCAGAAATCTTAACCGTGTAATACTGACAAATAGATTTGCCCATGTAAACTATATCTCTTTCACAATATAGAATATTTACACCTTTCTAGAAAGTTCTCTCCTGTCCATCACAGTCAAATGGATAACTGAACTTATTACACAATTAAATTAAACATCAGTGTGAGCTTAGCACACTGAGGGGTTAGCACACGCTCTCTTCACGCTGGCAGAGTCAGGTCTGCTGTCTTAAGCTATTTTTCTCCTTCTGGTTTCTGTCCACTCCTGCCATCCTGTGGGTCCCTAGAGGTGATCGTCTTCGGCATGTTCTCTGTGCACACTTATTCTATTACCCTGGCTGCAAATTCTTAGAAGCTTTCTTTGGGGACACCTGGCTGGCTCGGCCGGTAGAGTTTGCGACTCTTGATCTCGGGATCATGAGTTCGAGACCCATGTTGGGTGCAGAGATTACCAAAGATATAAACTTAAAAAAAAAAAAAAAAAGCAGTTCTCTTTTGTTTTTTCCTAAACACTTATTCTCCATGTTTTTTCTTTTGTTTTCCCCTTTTTCTTTTCTTTTCTTTTTTTAGTATGTGTTTATTTTGGGGAGAACACAAGAGGGGGAGGGGCAGAGAGCGGATCCGAAGCAGGCTCCGCACTGACAGGCTGACAGCAGAGATCCCGATGTGGGGCTCGAATATATGAACCGCGAGATCATGAACGGAACCAAGGTCAGACCCTTAACTGAGCCATCTAAGTGCCCCCTTCTGTTTTTCTCTCCTACGACTGTTTCTCATAATGCTGTTTCTCTCCTTTAGAGCGCTCTCACTCTTCTGAGTTCAGCCCATCTTCTCTGAGTTCACTGCCCTTTGTTTTGGACTGTTTACATCCTGGACATTAGGCACTGAGCTGTAACCCTAGGGCCCCCCTTCCCCACACTAAGGCCAGGCACTTAGTCCACATGAGGAAGAGAGGGAACGAATGCAAAGGACAAGCTCTAGAAACACCTGCAGTCCACTAAGGAACCCCAACCTGTCAGCTTTGTCATTTCTGGACCACATCTTTCTCTCTGCATTGAGCAAGAAGCTATTTATCTGCCCCTCTGGAAGCCCCAGCATTTCAAGGGAAGGAGGCTGATTTACTGGCAAAATGTGACCCAGAGGACCATTCTCCCCCCCCCCCCCCCCCCCCCTCCACCTTAAAAAAAAAAAAAAAAACAGAGCAAGCTGGGCTATCAGGGATACTTCCTGTTTTCCTCTCTTGAAAGCATCCTGGATAGATGAAACAGGGATCCAAGGGACTGTCTGCCTCTGGGGCTTCGGGACTGGCAGATGGCTTTTAACCCTCTGCTGTCTCCAGCGCCTGATGCCGTAGGTAGTTTACGTGTTCCATTTCCTGGGTAGATTTAACTTCTTGAGGGCAGGGGCCTTGCATTCATGCTTTCGTCAAACATTACTGTACTCTACTAAATGCCAGCCTTTGTTTGAGGATCTGGGGATACAGGGATGAATATATGACACAGTCCCTGGCCTCATTCATCAAACAGCAATGACTACAAGTGCTGACAAGATTAAGCACTTTCTCTGTGTCATGCATTCGCTACATGCTTTTCATGCATTCAGTCCTCACAACGAGCTTATGGGGCATTATTATGCCCATTTTACAGATAAGGAAAGCAAGACTTATGAAAGTTAAATATGCTGTCACAGGCACATGAGTAGCAGATGCCAAGGCTGGGGTTAGAGTCCAGCGGTCCGACAGCTCGGTCCACCTTCTTCGCTGCTATGCTAGCCTGCCCTCTGCAGAAACTACCTCCGTGTCTTAAACGTGGTAATGACTCACTGCAAGTAATTTTTACAAACGCGGTTTATTGCTTGGGCTTGGTCAGGGTATCTTCCGATGACCAGGTTTGTTTGCAATCCACTTACTGCACTGTTATCAGACTAGATTGGACGTGAGGTGGTTTGCAGCCCCTGAAGACTGGAAAGCAAGGCTGAGAAACTAAGAGGTCATGTTTGGCCCCCGTTTGGAAGATGAAGACTGTTTCAGGCTCTTTCATTCCCCTGCCATTTCTGGAACAGTTCTGATTCCCCCTACCTTTTTCTTTTCTTTATTATTATTAAAAAAAAAAATTTTTGTGTGGGGTGGGGGGAAGAATATTTTTGAAAAAAAAACTTGATGGGAAGTTGATACCTTATAACAGCAACGAAGTGAACTGTATATACCGAGGAATTATTCTACGCCTTTGCTTATATCATCGCTTACATCCTCGCAACAATAGTTGGTTTTGTTTTTCCATTTCTGGGGAGGACCCGAGGCGCGGACTGGTTTAGTTAGCATACCCCAGATCACACAGCTAGACAGAACCAGGTTTTTGATCCTAGGTTTGCCCGACTCCAAAACCTACATTTTAATCATGCTGTCTCCCTGATGCTGGAACTTGGCAGAGGGAGGAAGGAACTCCCTTCCTGCTGACCTTCCTGACACAGTTAAGTGGCGGGTGAGGATACCCAGTAACCTTGAGATCTGTTGGTTAGGGATACTGGCACAAAAGGATCTTAAGGTGCTTCTGAGCTGCAATTTTATCTCTTTAAGACCCAGGGCTCCCATGCCAAGGCTGTTCTGTGATCCTCGGAGATTTCAGGGGTGGGGAAACTGGATGGAACGCGCTGACATACAACAAGCAAAAAAAGACCTCAGCATTTTTGCCTCGCCTCGGTGGCTCCTGCCTTTTTTTTTTTTTTTTTTTTTTCCCTTTCTCTCCCTCTCTCATTTATTTATTACTATGCTATTCCCTGGCCCTGCTGCTGTGTCAATACTGATAAAAGCAAATCTCCCCACAAACAGGTGCAGCCAGAGCTGCCCCTTGGACAGCTGCCAGGGAATGTGATCGCTCAGCTGAGGTGACCTGCCCCTGCCCAACCCCCTTCTCGGGTTCCAGCCCAGGGCATGTGTCCTTGGGCGGTTAATGGCCGCGTGTTCAGAGCCTGGTATCTCAGCTGGCATCACGGACTCAAGATGGCAGATGTAGTTGCTGGGGTGGGCGTGTGCAGGACAGAGGGGGGCCTCCGGGAGTTACTTATTTTCCCTTTCGGTTTCTTCGGAAATTACATGGACAATACTATGTCACCAAGTCCCTCCTGCAAGCATTTGAAAATATTTCCTAAGAATATCACCCCCTGATTTTTCTAGGTAAGAAATATTTTTTCCAGGCCCACCCGTTTCCAACTTCACATATACACTTGCAATTTAATGACCCAAAAGACATTTTCTGAGCACCTCCTAGGGCTCAGTGGAGGGTTCACCCACAGAAACATTTTGTGAGGCAACCCTGTTACCCAGGATGCATTTTGATGCTGCCAAGCCCTGTGACTTTGACTCCGGTGTGTAAAAGATTATATTCCATCCCCCCTCCCCCGCCCCCCGGGTCTGTGTTTTGTCCCCAAGCATCATTTCCCCACTTCCCTAGGGCACCAGCCTTTCCGGAAATGCCCCAGCTCAGCAAGCGGCCTCCACCTCCCCGGGAAGTGAGAGGGGGCCGTGTGGCGGTGACAGCACAGGGCGGGCCTGGGGCCGGACCGGGCCGAGGGCAGGGGCCGGAGGCGGAGCCGGAGCCGGAGCCGGAGCCGGAGCCTCCCGCCCCGCTGAGCGGCCGCAGAGCAGCGCGCGGCTCCGGGAGGGGAGGACGTTGCTATGCAAATGCGCCGCGGCCTGCGGGCCCCCTTTACCCAGGGGCCCTCCGGTTGCCAAAACAGACCATTCCCCAGAACAGTCGCCTAGAAACGGGCGCTGTCATAGCAGCCTCTCAGCAGCGGCGAGCCAGCCGCGCTGCCAGGAGGAGCTGGGTCAGGGTGTTCAGACCTCCTCAGCACCCCCTCCCCACCCCGTCTCCACCTCAGGGAGGGGAGTGGTGGCTTGGGCCCCTCCTTGGAGCAAGGGAGGGCACTAATTGGATTGGAACACTCCAGAAACACATCAGCCGCTCCTCCCTGGGGGAAAGGAGTGTGAGGGGGAGGCTTCAGACTGTCTTTGTGATGGGTCTCAGCCTCACCCTCCCTGCAGCCTCGCCCTGATTTGGTCCTCACCAGCCTCTGCCCACCCGGAACCTCCCTCGGCACCACTGCCAGCTCGGGGGGGAGGGGAGGGGGCAGACAACAACCAGATAACCCCGCAAAGAAATTCAGCCATGAAGAGGGGTACGCGATGCGACAGCAAGTGAAGATACAGGGTCTGACCTGCTTTGAGGGGGTTAGGGAAGAATGCAGGTTTGCTGTGACTCCCAAGCCGGTGCCCTGGCCACTACCTCCCCCAGCCCTTCCCCGTCTCAGCAGGCTCCTCTCACTCAGCCTGTGGGGCCTGGCCATCCCCCCAGGCCCTGGGAGCAGGGACGTTTTCCTACCTTATTTGGCAGCAAGAGAGCTTGTCATTTAAGTGCATGTATCTTGCCTCTTAACAATCACAGTATAAACTTCTAAAAGGCAGGACCCATATAATTCTGTGATGGCACACCTTGACCATGAAGAACACGACTGATCTGAACAGATCCGCTTGAAAGTGGTGCCAGTGATGTTTATCACCCTGGGAGGCCTCTAATGTTGCCTTTGCAGCAACTGTTTTAGAGTGGCCCTCAGAGACTACTTAAAACCTCATGAAACTCTGGGATTGGGGACGGGAGAAGATTCAGTGTCAGCCTGAGTGACATTAAGCCAACAGGTGGGCTACAGAGAAAGTGACTCCAGGATACAGCATTCCCTGGGGTCTAGATGCTGCACGCCATGGCCAGAGCACGAGCCTGACGGCTGGGGGCAGCTTTGTACTAACGTGCTGGGCGAGAGACCTTCCTTCATAATCCACGGACGGCCTTGGGAGTTGTACGGATTCTATAAACGTGAAGTCTTCGTTCAATCTTGTTTAGTGAGGCAGCATGTAAACGTGTAATCTCTCCCTTTCTCCTTTCCTTCCTCCTGCATTGAGTGCCTGCTCTGTGCCAGGCACTGGAGATTCAGAGAATAATTAAATTGATATCATTCTATATTTGTAAGGAGAAAAATAATGCACAGTGCAGGCGACATTTGCCCTGCATTAAGGTCACCAGTATGTATCTTTTGATTAACTTTCTTGTGTTTGTGGGTTTTCCCTAGATCATAAATCTCACTTCTCTCGAGGCCAGAAATTTACTTTCCCAGACTCCTTTGCAACTACGGTGTAGGCATGTGACTTAGGTTCCACCAATCAGATGCATGCACATGAGGGTTTTGATTTGGAAGAGGGCAACAGGAAGCAGGTGTCCTGGGGAAGGGGGTTAGAGGAGGCTTCTGGGCCTTCAGAGCAACAGGAGGGATGGTCTGAGATCCAATTCCCACCATTGTTGAAGGGGGTGAGTTCAGGCAAGTTGCAGAATTTATGCTGATAGCTGCCTTGGTGGTTTGGCTAGAAAAGTACCCTGAGGTGGTTTGGGCATCATCCCTGCATTCTGAGCTTCTGTGCCTGTCTTCCCTTTTGGATTCTGTGAGCTACTGAATGTTTTTTAATAAGTTCCTTTTCGGGGCGCCTGGGTGGCGCAGTCGGTTAAGCGTCCGACTTCAGCCAGGTCACGATCTCGCGGTCCGTGAGTTCGAGCCCCGCGTCAGGCTCTGGGCTGATGGCTCAGAGCCTGGAGCCTGTTTCCGATTCTGTGTCTCCCTCTCTC